TGAAATTATCTCTCAAAATTGGTTATTGGAATAGAATTTTATTCCTTTGTGTCCCAATTCAAAAAGAAAAATTGAAGTATATTACTTTGAATTAATTTTAATGGGCTGCTTACTTTCTTTTTTACTTTTTTCTCGCTTTTTTAAAATTTTTTAGCTTTTTTTTTGATCAGTTTTTTTTGTTATAATTGCAAGAACATGACATTCTTAGTTTGTTCTTAGTCTGTCTTGGTTTGACTAAGACCTTGACTAATTATAAATAATAGGAGTGGAATGGCTCGGTGGGTTATTGCTCAAGTGCCGATGTTGTGGTTCTATTCCCTTTGTAAAAAGAAAGTGCCATATGTTGGAGAAGCAGAATATTGTCGCGAACATTTGACTCTATAAATCTTTAAGAATCGAAATCTCTCCAAGAGAAAATCAAAAACATTTTCTTATTCTTAATTTGAAATTTTTTTTTTTAATGCTAAACTCAAACCTAAAAATGTGTTAAGCTGATAGATTGAATGTTGTGCAAATATTTAACTCAGAACCTCATCGTTCATTCATTCGCTATATTTTGATGATTTTAAAGATAAAGAATCTTCGCGCTGAAAGAACTTTATTAACCAATCAGCCGTTTTTTTTGTCACTTGTTTAGAATGTTTTACGAGAAGATTTGAAACAACCTTCTGGCAAAGTTTACTACTTTTTTTTCAACAGCATTCACCATTTCGATTCGTTCCATCAGCTATTAGAATGAGAATACTTTCTCCAGAAGGTTGCTTGACGATTAAAGTGCAATTGCATCATCAGCAAAAATCACAATTCCGCCATTTTCTTAAATTATTTATTTCCATTTGCAAAATTAACCTTTAATGAATAAAATAAACTTTGCAAGTTTTTATTTTTTTGCTGCGTCATTAAAATCTAAACCAACTTTTTTGGTGATAAGCAATGATATTTTGAAGTCATTCTTTAAAATCCTTCAAGATATTATTTTTTGGGAAATATGAAACATTATTGCAGTTTTCAAGCAATTAAAGTTAATCGATTAGGAGCAGCCGTTCTAATGCTTCGATATTTTCTTTAAAAAATTGTTTTGATTTGTTCCCTCGTATAAATTATGGAATTTGATTGACTCTCTAAATAAAGCACTAACAGATAAATAAAGATAATAAAGCATCCTTATCAAATCATTAATAAATCATGGCTGTGCCTATTGCTCCTCTCTAAATAAAGCACTAACAGATAAATAAAGATAATAAAGCATCCTTATCAAATCATCAATAAATCATGGCTGTACCTATTGCTCATACAATTTTTGTGTATTTACAGTAATCTTATCATTTATTTGTATTGTTGTACATATTATTATACAAAAGGTTAGATTTTATAAAAAAATTGGATGAAATAATGAAAAATTATGATTTCTCAAAGCTTAATTAATTTTAGTTATTTTTCCTAAATTTTTTTTTCTATTTCTTTTCATCGTTTCCATTTTATTTCCCTTTCATTCTTTCATCATTTCTGGTTTGGTTAATTCTATTGGCTATCGGCTGTTTGAGATCCCTTTGACAGAGACTCATTTGGGAATAAAAGAAGGCTCTTAACATCATCCTTATTTCAAATGGCTGATGTGCCAAGAAATAGGAGTAAAAGTCCGATAATCGGCCGCGATAAAGACAACATATTACTCGAACTTCATCCTCAGTACATCAATAATTTTTATTATCTTCATCAATTCTTTTTTGACTTATTGATCTGATTGATAATTTAAATCTTTTGAAGCAGTGATAAAAACGATAAAATAATTTTAGGTGATTGTCACAGACAAGAATTTAATGAAATTCTCGACTTATAAAATTATATTGTTATGGATTTGTTGATAGAATTCAACTGTTTGTATATATAATGAGCGGTTTTTTTGCAATTTTAGGCACAACAATACACAGTTGGATTGACAAAGTTCGAGCTTTTTCATTAAATTTCCATTTTAAAATTGTAAGAAAAAAAGGAACAAAAATAAGGCGCTGATTGGTGCAATGCTGTGGAAATTTTTTTGAATAAGCATGCAAGTCTTTCCATGCTCAGAGCTTACCAAGCCATATGCAAACCCAAACCCACACAAACTGATTCGGCTCAACGAAGATTTACCAAAGATGCATCCGCCACCACTAACCCCAACACTTAAATTCCAGATTTATGGCTCTGATTTACATAATGCTGTAATGCTGTGATGAAAAAAACTTGATTATATAATCAAATAAACCATCGAAAATACCAGTTGAAATTTCATTTCTCAAATTTTCAACACGGTTTATGTTGGTACAATATTAGTGCACTGACAATTCTCTTAGCGATTAACCGTTTCTTAATTTTAAGTTTCGATATGCGAGGTGAATCAATAATTTCACCAAAATTTACTTGGGTTAATTTATTTAAATTTTTTTAAAGTTCATTTTAATTTGTGGAGAAAAATTATTTAAAAATTATTTTTAAAAGTTGTTGTATTTATTTGAATTTTTTAAATTATTAATTTCTAACTTCTATTTTCTAAAATTTGTTTTAAATTTTTAAAATGGTGAAATTTGGTGAAATTTTGCTAAATTTTTAATTAATTTAGAGCCTTATAGCTGTATTATGCCAATATTAATTTTACACAGTTTTCTTCGAAGATGCTGGGTTGGGAAATATTTTTCCTTCTTAATAATTTCTTAAATAATTTCTTAATTTCTCGATTGGTGCAGCTTACATAGTGTAGAAAGATGTTAAGAAGTAGATTGACGATAAAAAAGAATGCGACGATGTTTGAAAAGTTTCCTAAGAAAAAATCATCAGGAAAAAAGATGTTTTCGAAACATGTGAAAAACAGTGAAAAATTTTATTCATCGTTATATTCATAGGATTGATTTCAGAAAAAATTACGTACAGTTGTTTGGCGAGATACTATGCTGACCATACAAATTTTAATAAATGGTTGCTATACTGTAATAGTATTTCATCATATTTTATGTTTGTTCGGCCATATATGTATGGTACCTTACACGGTGTTTTTTAATGCAATAGATGTTGTTTTCTGTTTAATATGGAATGGTAAAACTCCATGGTTGCTGCTTATATTTAATAGGTTATTCGTTTATTGATTTCCCCCATTTCCACCATATCCACCACTCAGCTCTATAATTATTAATTTTAATCTACCTCTCCCGGCTAGGCTCTATAATTAATTTTAATCTACCGAACTTTGTAACCAAATCCCTGTCCTGTTTATTTTTTGTTTTAATTATATCATTTTATTTATAAATGAAATTCAGCAAATTTAAGTAAAGAACTCGGAAGAACTGAGAAGATGCATCGTGTTATTGTGTTTTCTCTGTTATGAATTTATTGGTCGGATTATCCGCTAATAAAAATTGATGAAAAGACAATTCGCGCGAATAAATAATTTTTATATCATTAAAGAGTGAACGTGGCTAAATTGTGCGCGAATTTTAACCTGAAAGGTCAAAAATGGCCTTCGTTAGTCGTTTATACAACGTTGGGCAGCGATATATATGGGAGAATTGCTTGAGAATAAATCATAAGAAATTCTATTAGTTTACTTAGATATGTTAGGGAGGTATTTATTGCGTATTAGAAGAAAAAAAGCATCTAATCTTCATATAATTTGGATTATAACAAATCTTATAAAATCAGTTTGAATTAAAATACTAGAAAATCTAACAGTTTGAAATGATTGAAACCTTTCAGAATTTGGGACTCAAAAAATTTTTTTGTCCCTACCATACATCATTGGAATACACCTATATGCATGTTCAGTTCAATAGAATTTCTCCTGGCTAGCAAAACCTTTAGAAGTCGCCGCGAAATCGTCGTGCTATGGTCCTTTATATAACTGCAATTCGCTCGATCTTGTTATATGGCTCGAGATATGGCCGATGACAGTGGAGGATATTAAGCCATTTGCCTTTAACCACTCATGTCTAAGATACATTTTCTAAGTCCATCTTGCTGATAAAATCTCACATGACCGCATCCACCATTGCTCAGATACCATTTTACTACATAATACTTCAATACCTCTCAAATACCTCCATTAACAGTACCACCGCAGAGCGCTGTGTTCGTTCTTCGTCGCGCACCATAGGAGTTATAAATATGTCACTGTCTGCTAAATCCTGTGATGGTGGAGATCGAAAGCGAGGTGAGCCAATTAAAACCTGGACTGATACGGTCAGATTTTGAACGTATAGATGGACCAGCGATATATGGACTTAGATGGTGGAGAAAGGAATGGCTTCTATTACTGTCGACGATGGCATCAGACCGCGCCGCTTGGAAGCGTATTAGCCTTGTAGCTAGTGGAGCCAGTCTAACCAGTAATGGTGAGAGCTATTAGAAGTTCAGCAGCAAGAAAACTAAATAACCATTGAGTGACATTCACTCACATTATTATTCTCATCGCTATTTTATGATAGATTAGCAATTTATTATTTTAATTATTATTTATTATTATTCTTAACCATTATCATTTCTTATTTTTATTAATTATTATTAATATACTCATTTAGATCTTTATGTTTATTGTTTCGGCAACAGCCCATGGCGTTATGCCCAGCTTATTTCTTGAAAATAAGGATCTGACAGGGTTTTAAGAGAAAAATTCTTATAAGAGCTACATAATTATGGGTGTGAGTTGATGTTATGGTGCTAAAATGCCTTAAGAATTAAATTATTTAGAGAATCACAGTGGGAATTTAAAGGAGTGTTAATAAGCTTTATTGTGGGTATTACTGTTGATGGCTTGGGTGATTATGGTGACGGACTGAATTTGAGAGGGAGGTAGAATAATGGAATTAAAATGGAGAAATGGATTAATTGGTTGTAATAAAAGCACAGTGATATTTCAGGGTGCATGAAAAAAGCCTAACGGGCTGTTGGAGGCAACGACTAAGGAAATTAAGTTAATTTAATATAAAAGGCGTTACTAATGTAGAAAATCCGTATAAGTGGTCCATTCCATGATTTTATCGGAAACGAAGACATTTCAGGTAAATGTTTTTTAGGCAAAACTCGCACATCATCGATATTGTAGGTTATGCGATGCTGGCCAAAATTTAACGAGAATGGAGCAAACTTATTCATAGTTTCACCATTTTTCCGAATTACTTTAACAAAAATGCTTCATCGAAAATGCAGAAACACAGGTCAGGCGTACTTTTTATTTAAAATAATGTCCGTTGAATTAAACGGTGTTTTTTTCTTTCGTCTAAAATTTTTTCTCTTTTTTCTTCTTCCTCTTTTCCTTTATTTTCCATATAATTGCTGATTATCACTTCCTCGCTACGTCCATTCATCTCAAGTTGAATTCCATCGTTATATATCCCTAAATTTTTATTCTTGAAGGTAAGATTGAAGCAAAAAGCATAAAAGCAAAAAATGAGACCAGAATAAATTGATAGCCTGACTTACAGGTGGAGAACGTAGCATTGTTGTAGCGTCTTACCACAGCCCTTTCCTTGCAGTCGGATAAGCGAAGAGTCATTTTACTTTCAGGGCAACCATATCTTCGAAGCAACGTGTACAGAATTGATGTACCTGATGCAAAAATTTACTGGTCAGTCTTATTTCCAAGTTATTCACCTCCTGACTATACCGATCCTTCTTTAAGCGGTAAGTCATGGGCTGATGGTCCTATTTCTCTCAATTCTTCTTTCAAATGGAATAGTCTTGATGGAAGTGTGGATCGTCTCTCATACATTCAGTTATCAATGTTTTATTTTTTCCTTTATTTCTGCTATTTCTTATATCTTCTCGTCTTGTACGATTAGCAAGAATTTCGATTGTAATGAAATACAGTTATCAAAATATTTTCCTTCTGATAGAGGATGAAAATATAATTCATTATTTTCAACAATTTTTGGAATCTCTAACCAGTTAGCAACGTTTTTTCAAGTATTTACGATAGTATTCACAAATATTTAAATATACCTTAACAATATTTTTAATGAAATCAAGACGATCCCATTAAAATAATTTTTTGTTTCTGTGATTATTATTTATTTACATGATAACCTTGCAACCAAAAATATTTAATATTTCCGGAAATACGATTTGGACAGCGACGGTCGTCCTCTTAATCCAATGGGGCGAACTGGTCTTAGAGGACGTGGAGTTCTAGGTCGTTGGGGACCAAACCATGCCGCTGATCCAATTGTTTCTAGATATTTTAAAGGTCATCTCCAGTTCATTGGTATTCAGAGAAGTGATACTGGCGAATGGGCAATTCCAGGTGGTATGATAGATCCAGGCGAGATGGTTTCGCACACACTAAAGAGGTTTTTATTGAAAATTGTATTTTTTAAACCATTTGCCTTATTTTTCCTCCTTTATAAATATTTTCGAAAGAAAAGGCTTATTTGCGTTTTTCTTTTCGTAATCAGTTCGTTTTTATGAAATTTTTTTAATAAATGAGTTAATTACAAAATTTGTCATAAAAATAGGGAATTCACGGAAGAAGTCCTTGATGGAATAGATGATAAAAGGCTGAATTCATTTTGGGAAAAAGGCGTAGAGTTATATCGCGGTTATGTTGATGACCCCCGCAATACAGATAATTCATGGATGGAAACAATTGTTGTGAATTTCCATGACCATGATGGAATCTTAAAAGATATGCAATTAAAGGTTTTCCTTCGGTTTATGAGATGTCTGTTTTACTTTCCTTAATAAATTTGTTTTTTGTTTGTTATTATTAGCAGATTCCTAAGAATACATCCACTCTTTTTATTCAGATAGAAATATTGTTCTCTATTCTCCAAAATAATTTTAAAAATAAGAGAAGTTTTCAGACTTTAAGAAAAATGAAATTTAATTGTTAAGTTGTTCATTATTAAAAATTAACTAAAAATTGAGTTTGAAAATTGAAAATAAATTAAATTAAATTATAGGCTGGAAGTGACGCAATAAATGTTCGATGGATTGAAATAAGTGCAAATGAAAAATTTTATGCTTCACATGGGGATTTTATTCGTCTACTAGCAGATCATCATAAAATACCAATTTAATCATTCGTTTCATATCATTTGTTTTATTTTGTTTATCTTCATTTATCTTCATTATATATTAGTAATAATAATCAAAATCTCCAAAATCTTCCAATAGCTCGCATTCGCTGCACCGGCTAGGTTATGATGTTTCCAAGTCTCTCGATCCGATATTCTCGAATTTTTTTTTCAAAAGCACTCAGTATTGCAGTATTGCGGGTAGACTCATTCCTCTGGCTCGTTGCACTTGACAAATATGCCGAGTCCCTTGGCGATAGAAGTAAAGATGAATCGCCAGCATCACCCGCATTCTTGAATATAAATGAAGCCATTCTTTTTCCACCGTCTAAGTATATCACTGGGACCCCTATGCGTCCCTTTGATTTCTCTTCACTTATATTAATCCATATTTTATAATAATAGGAAGTGTGGAAATCTTGGCTGTATACACTGGTGTATACATTGCTTATTACATATTATTTAAAAAAATTGGGTGATAATTTGTTGAATACTGGTGCGTTAACGTTCACATTTTATTAACAAAGATGCCAACTCGTGCTTCTATCGTCAAATGACTAACGGGCAATCCTAACTATAAATGGTACAAAAACAGAAAAAACGATACCAGTACCTAACCGTTCTAATGGTAGTATTCCTATACAGCATATTTAAATGAATGGTTTACCTTCCAAAAAGCTAATTCACAATAAAAACGAAAGGCATCAAACAAAAAAAGTGAAGTGAATTTTACAATATATTTAATTGTAATATCAACCGCTAATTAACTGTTAATTGGTCAGTTAAATATATAAATTATCGTCAGCACCTATGAAATAATGAAATTCGCGTGAGTGTTTAAACCTGAAAAAAAAATCCAACACAGCGTAAAACTATGAAGCCTGCTAAATCAATTTCGAAAAATTTTAATCTCCATAGGTCCAATTTAAAGAAACAGTTATCCACATTCCGTTCCCTTAAATTACCATCAAATCTCGCATCTTGCTACGATTGCAGCTAAAAACTATATATAAATTAATATATATAAATTAGCAAAGAGTGATATGGTACTGACAAGCTGATTGGAGAATTTCACTGAGATTTGATTAAAAAATACAATATAACAAGGTTCAGAACTAACTTCTGAAAAAGCTTTATTTATTGAAAACTAGCCAAGCAGGGCGCAAATGCCATGTGCTTGTAATAACGATATATAAGGCGATCGCGGGCTTAACAGAGCTTGAAGAGGATGCATGCGCGAATAGCAATTTTACTGGTCGATTTTTTCATGTTAACCATCAATTTCAATAGGCGGATTTCTTTATAGATAATTTATAAATCTTACGAACTCACATTCACATTATGGTAAACAGCAGCATTTGGCCGAAAGAAGTGCAACCACTCGGTTATCCTTCCCCCTCGTAAGATTTCCTTCTTTATTCTCTAACACAAATAAATAAATAAATTTAAGGATTTAAACAAATAAATAAATAAATAAATTTACATAAATAAATAAAATAAATAAACAAATAAATAAATTTAAGGATTTAATAGGCCGAGTCAAATTAAGTCAAATTCATTACAAACAAGAATGAAGTAAATCTCCTAGATTCCTGAAAATAAGCAAATAACCATTAAAGTATGGCAAAAAAACCAAAACCAACAAAAAAAGTCATCCCAAAACGACAACAAAACCCTCAAGGTTTCAGCTCACGAAAAACAAAACGCTGAATTTTTTAAATCCGCGGCTTTTCTAAACGTCGAACAAATGAATCTGTGAAAGATTTTTAATGGGATTGGAATAATTGCTTTTATTTTCTGTGTGGGTTTGGCATTTCTTTCTCTTCAGGTTTGTTAGGATTGGCTTGGTGGCATCGAGATTCCGATCTCTTTTGATGTGAACAGTGTCACACAGCTCGAAAATCCAGTTATAGACGGATTTACCGACAAAAATTCGCAAAGGACTAGTCGGCTAGTCAATTTTAAATTCCTTGCAGTAAAAAAAGGGTTCAGAGGTCGCTTAAGAAAAATGAAGACGATAGATATGCGCAGAAAGGCTAAATCATACAGGTCGCTTAGGCTTCTTCAGTTCATTCTAAGATAAGTAAGAACAGGCGGGCGACAGGCGAAAAAGCTATTATATAGCAATCTGTTTAAATGCTTCCACACTTTTTCCATTTTAATTCCCTGACTTTCATTGGCAGATTATTATACAAGTAGTAAAAAATCCCTCCCCACAAGTGTTTAGAACTGCCTCTAAACTCCGTCGTTTTCTCTTAATAAATAACTAGTCTTATTCACTTTCGAATCCTTTATGCGGAAGAATTACGCAGTGAGATTTGGTAGAGCATTAGGATCAAGGACGACAACTGTGTAGTGTCAAGATATTGAAGAGGATGTCACTAATGGATTATGGCAAGAACGATGTTTGTGGTGCTAGTAGATAACAGCTTTTGGAATTGTTAAAGGCATGTTTAACGCGTCTCTACTTTATCGAGGATTTCGATGTCGAGGGCACAATAATTTTTTGCGGATGTCGGATCCTAGCCCATTTCTTTGGGTCTACATTTTATAGTCTGCTATTTATTGCTGTAAATATATTCACCTACAAACATCTGCTATTAGACAGAATATATGATCATTTTCAGAAAAGGCTGCAAAAGCGAAATGGCGACAAGAAGGCCTCCACCACCTTCTATTGATGGTTTATATTCTCTAAAGGTTGTTTTTTTATTTATTCTTCAATTACGTGGTACAACGACTGTCATTTCATTATTCAGGAAATAGTTCATCGAAACAAGAGAAAATAAAGAATCGGCGTTAGGTGAGAAGGTGAGATGGGTTGAGAGGAAAAGGGAAGGATCACACCTACCTAAAATATTTCGGAGATATCGTCTATGTAACCGAAGAACATTACTCTATTATTCCCTTAATTCGATTATTTTTAAGATTTTTGTTCTTAAGTAACTTTCAGCGAAAAAAGATAAGATTAATAGGAACTGTTTTACTGATAAATGGCAGCTTTCATTTAATAACATATACAGCTATTTGCCTGTAAATTATACTATTGTTAATTATGCCATGATTGCTGTTGTGATTACTTGGGCTGTTTCATTGATGTTTTCCTGATAAAAAGATTTGGTAGTTGATTAATTTGATAGACTTCACTTATAAACGAAGTTTTATCTTCTTCTCTTGAAAAGAAGGACCAGTGCTTTTACAGTAAGCATTATTATTATTTCCATGATGAAAATGTTGTGCCAACAAACAATGCCGGTACTGCTGCGGTAAACATGAATGTTATTCATGGTTATCAGCACTTAGTAATGAGCTGGATCATGTGCTGATGAACCGTTGCATTCTCTTTTCTCATCTGATTCTGACCAAGAAACTTATCCTACAGTGGGATTTTGGCTAATCCAGAAGTGATACATGTTGTTAGAACAAAAAATATTGACAATATTGCTATTATAGTCATAAACACATTTGCTGCTGTGCTGATAGGGTTAGTGTTATTCGAACAAATATAAGACAAATAATGCATAACACTAGCATTAGTGTTATGCATTATTGATAAGCAAAACTTTATTTTAATGGTAAGTTAAGTGAACTATTGGTGAAAAAGCTCAAATTGTTGGAAACTAATCGCAACTACGATTTTGATTAAAAACTATAAAATTTGTCTCGTTAAATCACAGATTTCCCGTAATAATTTCAATTTGCAAAAACTGATTGATGTTGCATTTTGAATATATTCTTACGTGATTTTAATATTACAGATTGATAATATATCTTATCAAACTACTCCCAAAGATTTACGTCGATTATTTGAAAAATATGGTGATATTGGTGATATTCATATTCCTCGAGATCGTTATACGAAGCAAAGTAAAGGATTTGGTTTTGTTCGCTATTATAGTCGAAGAGACGCTGAATATGCAATGGATCGTATGGATGGTCGATGGCTAGATGGTCGTGAAATACGCGTTGGTCTTGCGAGATATGAACGGCCAATTGATGAACGTGGAAGCGGTCGAAATAATAGTGGTGGATATCGTAGTGGGAGACGGTATGGTATTATATTTATTTTGATAGAAAATTGTTCCTTCTTTGTGCGCTTTTTTACTTTTTCTGCCATCACTTTTTGCAGGGAACTCTGGTATTATCATATTGTTACTTAAAATAGATTAACTTTTAAGGAAACTTCTGCTTTATTTTGCTCCAAATTATTCTGCAATTTTCGAGTTTTTATTGGCCTTTTCATTCTTTTTCAGAGTAATTTGAGATTTTTATTTAACAAGCCGGGTACTTAAACCAGAAATTTTTGGGTTTTTTTTTCTGTCTTTACCTTGGGGATATTTATGAAAAATTAGGTGATTTACGTTGATTGATATAACATTTTAAATTTGAAGAAGGCTGTGGTTGCTGCTTATGGAAATGCAACATTCGAGTTGCTGCTGCATAACTGTGGGTTGCGGTTGCGGCATCGGTTGCTGCTAATCGAATTGTAGCTGTATGTTGTAAGCAGAGTTTCCTGTACAAAGATGCAGCTTCCGTGAGCCTTGTAAGGAGCACAACGTTAACATTTTTGAATTAACATAGAAAATGAGAATAACATAGTGTAATTTATGTTGTATTCGTTGTGACTCCTACAAGGATGTTTTTTGAGGCTATTTTCTGAAAATTTTGGGTTAATCTATTTCAAGCTTGTTTTTCATCGAAAAAAACGATGCTAAATATTTATATGTGATCTCCATAGCGGTTATTTCATATTTATTGCATATATTCGTAAGTTTTATTTTTCATTCATAATGATTTTTAAAGTTTTTTTTTTAATCTCATTAATTCATAACTCTTGTGCTAGTTCATCAATGTTGGTATTTTATGCATAGTATATTTGCGAGTGAATATGAATAATTTGTTAATTTTTATTTATTCCTTTCTATTTAACCTTTTTTTGCAGATCGAGATCTCGATCACCACGTCGTCGTCGATCTCCATCACGATCGCGAAGTGGTTCGCGTGACGATCGTCGTCGATCTCGGTCATCTCGTCGTAGTTCTCCGCGTCGAAGTAAAAGCATGTCGTCTCATCGTTCCCGTAGTCCTATTCGCCGGTCAAAAAGTCCAGTTCATCGGTCTGAAACATCTCGTAGTTCGCCTCGTAAATCGCTAAGTCCATTGTCAGCTCGTAGATCGCAAAGCCCATCTCGTCGATCTCGCAGTCTATCCCGTCGATCAGAAAGTCCACATCGTCGTTCACGGAGTCACTCTGGTCAGTCACAAAGTCCTGAAAAACATATGAATTCGAGTCAGCATTCATCTGAAAATTCTCCTACTTCTTAATTGCTTTATTTGAATTGGTAATTCTTTTTCATCTTCCTAATAATAATTTATCTTATTTCAATTTCAACTTATGATTGTTTCGGTTCAATTTTTTTAAAGAAGAAGGGAGTGAAAATAAAATAAAATAACATAATAACAAAACAACTTTCTTAAAAAATGAGGAATTTTTGATCATTTTCTGCTGGCTGTAATCAATAATCAAACTGATCAAGTCAATAATTTTATTCGGTCATTTTTAAAATAGAAATAGAGAGCTTTCAAATTTTTGTATCAATTCCAATTTGACTTTTGACTTTTATATCCAATGTAAATTGTTCATTTATCCTCAGTCTGATATATTTTCAGCAAAGGAATCTACATGGAAAATTTTGCTTGAAAATTTCTTGTGAAATTATGAAAATTTTCTCAAATTTTCTCCATATTTATTTTCTCATATTTGACTTTTATTGGCGCATATTAGTTGTTAAAGTAATTCGATAAAATTTAATTCTTTTATTTCAAAACAGTTTATAAATTAAATAGCAAAAATATTTATGAACATGCAGAATTGTCTTTAAAGTATCATAGTATTTCAAATTGTTATGTTCTTGTAACATCCTTCTGGACCTTCTTACAATTCTTTTACTTTTCTAATTCCTCATTTTTTCCTTTTACCGTTCCACTTTTTCTCTCCAGTTTTCGTTATATTTCTCTATTGCTGCGAATTTTTATTTTGCATTTTTCAAAGAGGTTTTATGATATTTTTGTTGTAATGACGAATTTATTTATGTTTGATAACAAAGATTAAGATTGATAATACTCAATACTTCATAGGAGACGACATCCCATATAGGAAACCTCTAGTATTTTACATAATCCATTTCTATCAAATAGAGGTGACTATTTAGCTGATTTCAAGTGAGTAGTGGCTTATTGTAAGTTACGGTACCGAGGATTCGGCTTCTGCCTTTGGCATGAATGAACAGATCATTAAAAAGTCCAATCGCCGATTCTTCACATCTGGTGTACAGAAAAAAGGTATACACTATGAAATTTTCGTTAGGAGATTCCTCTTCCAATATTTTACCTTTGCAAAAATTCCTTTTGGGAATCCGCTCCACTATATTTTTTCTGTAAAGATTTAGCATTCCTGCCATGCGGGACTTTTATTTCTTTACTAATATAAAGTTTTATATTATAGCATTATATAATATAAAATTCTGCGGCCAGCGTTCTACTTTTTATTTTTCTCGTTGCGAACCTCAAACTTGGGTAATTAAACCTTTATTAGAAAGACGCAAATATATACAATAAGAAAACAAAGAATAAGAAAAATAAGAACAAATAAGAAGACAAAGCAATTGCCCTACTGAAAAGAAATAATATAGTAAAATAAAATCAAATATGAGATCTAAATGCCCATCACTCACTGACCGTTTCCCCACTATCTCTTGGGAAGTTTACTGTTTCGCCGATTCTTGATTCCTGGGCAATAATTTCCAACCGTGTATTAACAGTCCCAGCATAACCAAAAATAATGAGCTCTGATCATTTCTTTTCCTTAGTACTCATTAAAAAATCTAATGGTGAATTGTTTTTACGATAATTTAAATTAGTGCCTTTTTAATATAATTACTAAATTTTCTTTGGTTGATTGGAAAACATTTTTAATTTTAATTTTTGCTTTCCAGTAAAGGGTTAAAGGTTAAGATGTTGCAGCTAAAATATGGAAATGGGAAATTACTGAATTTAGGCATATTTTCCAACCCATCAAATAAATATGCTCACTACTACTACTTATTCTGAACCAAAGTGGCAGAGTAGTTAATGCTTGAGAAGCATTAGCTTCAAAATTACAGTTTACAGTTTCATGGTTTTTTATATCAAAGAGTGCCTGAGTTTTTATATCAGAAAAACATCAAAAGTAAAAACAACCTATAGAAGTGAAGTAAAGTCTGATGCGATTTAAAATTATGCAAATTTCTACGTCTAATAAATGCTTGTTACTTGCTTTTTACATTCAGTTTCTCCATTCTTTAAACACTGGTTAGTTTTTTTTTCTAAAATACTACTTCGACAGTCATTTTTGTGTTAAGTTTTAATCCTGCTTTGCAAATTGGATTTGACGGCATTTATGGTATCGCTTGGTAACCAACATTTTTTTCCGTACCGATTCGGCTGATTGCAGGACGAACAAAACTCTGCCAGAGAATTCGTCAATTTGTCATGAAAAAATAAAAATAATTGATTCCATCCGAATTTGATTAACATTGGTGATCATGCTATTCGATTTTTACTTTCATCCATCCACTCACACGTTTATTGCAAAAATGTGTAATTTATAAATTTTTTAATTATTCATGCATCTAGAAAATGCTAGAAACTAATTGAATTTTCATCGAATTTTAATTTCCCGATTTTCATAAAATTTCACTTAAAGCTCACCTGTTCCATTTAAATATTTATTCCGTATCCGTTAGCAACTATTAATTTAATTTCTTTTTGCAAATCCAGCTATTCTACAAATTACTTCTATTTTCCTTTTTTTTCATTTTTTTTTCATTTGCTGAATTTATTTAAACAAAATCAAGCAAAGGATATCAGATTAGAAAATTTTATTTATTCTTTTATCCCATTTATTCACAATTAGATTGCACATAAATAAATTGTAGTATTATTATTAAAAGTAAATTAGCCTCAGGCAGGTTTTATTTCATTTCATCTGATTTTTTACAAAATATCCAGTTAAATTATAAGATGGAAATGTTGAATGCAGCGAACGTTGAATCCAGTAACTGGCAAAAGTTGAGCAGAAAAAAGTAAAGTTAATGAATACTATGGAAATAACTGAAAGAAAAAGGATTTTCAACTATAAATCTAGAATTTTATAAATTAAAAATTTTTCTTTCCACCTTAATATCGTAATAATTGCTGTTTTTTAATTAATTAATAATTAATTTTAAATTAACAATTTTTTTATTAATTAGTGTCAAGTGCGATAATAACAAGAAATCGAGCCGTATTCGACTGTTCCGATTAAAATGATAGAATGGGATATTGTTTCGAGATTCAGTATCCAGCCATCATGGCTTCAATTCATGCCCTTTGATGAAGGGAACATTTGTTGCCAAAAAACAAGAAGAAGCTGATGGTTCATTTGTACTTCTGTCTCCAAAATGACCCTCTGGAAAAAGGGCTCTATCCTAATAGCCAATGCAGAATCAAACTAAAAATAGCCAGTACTTTTAAAAGGAAAAATGAAAAATATATCGCAAAAAAATTATATATACTTAAAGAAATTATCTAATTTTATGCCTAATGAAATGAAATGTTCTATAATAATTTGATATATATCAAAATGAATTCTTAATTTTATTTCCGCTCATGTTCTTCTTCTAATAGCATTAACCATTAGTGATTAAGCCAACTGATTATAATGGTAAGACGGTTTTGCTTCCCTTTTAGTCAGTAGACTTATGGAAGCATGGGATAGCAAGATATACATTAATTAAGCTGGATTCAGACCGGGCCGTGGTTGTCTTGACCAGATATCCAGGTTAAGAAGAGTGTTGAAAAATCGCTCCAAATATTTGCAAACCGTTACAACTTTGCGGTTGCCTTCAATTGATAAAGCGTTCTGAAGGGTTTTGGGACGCGACAGTGTTCTAGGCATCATTCGACTCGTAAAGGCATTTTATGAACGCGCAATGAATATTGATATAAACGATTTTGATATAACGAAAGGAAAATTCAAAATGTTATTGTATAAAATTTTGAAAATTTGCAAAATTTTCGGGTCTGTGTATATGGGAAACTGATAGATTTAATAATCCCTTTGAAATAAGAACTGGTGTCTG